GTGTGTGTGTGTGTGTGTGTGTGTAGTTTGTTGGTTTATTTAGTATTGTATAAAAAAATTCTAGCTGTAACGTTTTATAATGAAATGTTTTCTTTCTCTTCAACAAACATAACCGTTCAGTTTAAAGATCAAAATAGTTTTCTATAAAATAAAACTAGGAAAAAAACAAGAAAAGGTAGAGCATTATTTTAAAATTCTCCATCACTTAGACGTTGTTACTGCTGAAAAAAAAATGAGAACGAGAAATGGGTGGAAATGTGAAAACGTTACTTTTCTGTGGTTAAAGAGGAAGAGGGACCTTCCTCCTCCTCCTGTGTGTTTGTCTCCCTCTGCTGTTTTGTTTATCTGCCTGATCCAGGTCAGGGGTCCAGTCYTACAGAGCACACCTGCTCATCTGTAAATATTTGAGTTAAAAATTAAATAGTGAGACATTAGAAACAGTTTATTTCACACAAAAATCACTTTTAACAAACCTTTATCCAAAACCTTTCAAGGGAGCTGTTTAATCTGTAACCTGCTGTAGATTTAGTTTAAAATTTAATCAGATTTTTTTAAGAGTGTTATGAACAGCTAGTATCTTACCTGTTGAAGATAACTCCTTGTAAATTCTTAGTTTTGCAAAGTTTAATTCTGTCTGGTTTGATGAGCTAACAGCWAATCTGAGCGAGCTAATCCCGAAGAGGATTCTTGAATTTATTTTAATGTAAGAGTTTAATTAAAACACAAAATCAAAGGTTTTTACATAATCATCAGTATTGTTTAAACAGAGCTTTAGTTATTTCATGTACAGTTAGCAGCAGCAGCAACTAGCTGTAGCCGTTCTGGTGCAGCCTGGAGCACTTCCTGCTGGATTATCTCGGCCCTCTTCAGATAAACCATTTAATAAACACTGTTTCTCCAAACAGAGGTCTTCCAGAGTTCTATCTGCAACAGGTAAGATATTAATTGCTCATAACAGTTGAAAAGACAAACAGTTTTTTATTTAATTCTAAACGTAGGAACTRTAATGACTGTGATGTGTCAGGTGATGGTCGGAGTTTAAATTAACCACAGCAGCAGAGACTGAAGCTCAGCTCTAAATTTAACGTTAAACCTCAGTTTAGCAGCAGGGTCCAGTTACATCCAGTKTACTGCTCCGGGTTTTATCCATACGCTTCACCTCAGCTTTCAGTCTTTCATTCCTTTCATTCATACCGTTATGAATATTAAGCACACTTTCATGCATAGTTTCTGGGGGGAAAAATGACATACGGTAAGTAAAGCAGATTAAAGTACATGATATTTGCTACATGAAATGCTGGACATCCAGTCTTAAAGAACGATTGTCATTGTATTCCCATGATGCACCAGCTTGTTTTACCCGCTCGGTCAGCCGAAGCTGTGTCTGAGTGTCACGCGTTGAGATCTGTGGAGAACGCCTCCGTGTTCATCTGAGCACACGTGTAAACATGACCATTTAGCATTGATGAATTACTGTGCAGGAAGACGTCTTTACATACAGGTGTGCGCATGCTTGTGTGGCCTTGTTTTTCCTACACAGTGGGGACAATTTTCCTGGAAAAAGCAGCCTCGTGGGCACCGAACGGGTCCAAATGCAAATTACAGGTGGGGGGTTTGGGTTTAGGACCAAAGTGTGAATTAAGTTTAGGTTAGTTTTAGGGTACCTGTGAGGTTAGCCTTAGGGTAAATGGTCAGGGTTAGGACATAAAATTACAAAAAAAAAAAAAAAAAGAATGGAAGTCAATGCGCGGTTCCCATGGGTATATACAAACCAGACATCAGTGTGTGTGTATGTGTGTTTCTTTCCCGGGCTGTCAGGTGTGCAAAAAAAAAAGATTAAAAGATAAAGTGGACCTGTGTGACTTCATTCCACTGATTGGATTCATTTAAAGAAGTTCATCAAACCTTGACCTCAGAAATGAAGCCAAAGCTATTTTTTAAATTGATTTATGTAGTGAACAAGCAAAGGATCTTAATGAAACTCCACTGATTGTCACCACAGTTACACAAACTTGTCTAAAACTCAGCTAATTTCACCGATATTAGGCTAAAATTTGGTGTGGTTGTTGCTGAGAGTCATTCTCAACACATACTCCAAGCATTACACATTGCGCAAAACGTTTTTCTCAAAACCTTGGCTTTAACAGTTCATCTTCGTCTGTTAGCAAAATTTCTCACGAACCACTGGATGGATTTTAATGAGCTTTTGAGGAAATATTCACTGAACGCGTATCGACTGCGGATTAACTTTTGGAGTGGATCCATTTGAAGATGGCCATCACAGTTAAGCATACTTAGACACTAAAATGTTTTTAATGCAGCCAGTTTTACAGATATTGAGCTGAAAATGAGTGTGATAGTAGCTGAGAGTTTTTCCACAACAAATACTCCAAATGCTAACAAATTGCTTGAGATTTTTGCAATGCTGTGAGATTGTGYACAAGTCTATTTTCAAAAAATTCCCAATTCAGCTCTGAATACATAATTTCTTAGTATAACATGATCTTTGTTTATATCTTTGTAACTTTATAGTCAGAAATGTTATAATAACTAAATACCACATAGCCGTAACACAATGACCCCCACACGCACAAATGCACCAGAACTGAGAAGTCTTCATTCCTAATAAATGTCATGCTACTAGGTGCATCCCAAAATTGTAGTGGTTTGGGTGGGGGCCTTTCTTTYTTTTTTTTTTTTTTTGGGGGGGGGCATTGGTTGACCTGATGGATAGCCCATCATCAGAGCGAAACAACCAAAGAAAATCTGAATCTCCCATGTTTAATAGTTTTTGAGCAATTACGCTTTTTGTATGTCCAGATACCCCTTTTTCAGATGAAGGGGGGGGCCGGGGGGGGGGGGGGGTGCACTGATTGGTGGGCCTGATGGATAGAGCATCATCAGAGCTAAACAACAAAAGAAATCTGAAGCTTCTATGTTGAACAGTTTCTGAGTTATAAGCATTTTTGCATGTCCATACACCCCCACTTTGAAAGGAGCCCCCTCCTCAAATATGGGGTCTATCATAAAACCGTTGGCTGGCGCAGTGTAGGTCAGACTCATCTACAGCCCTGCCAAATTTCATGTTGATCGGTGCAGCTGTTTTTGTGCTACAGTTGACCAAAAATCACTGGAAAGAAAAAAAAGAGTACGAAAACAATATGACTCCCGCTTACGCTTCTTGTGCGGCGGGTCATAATAAGAGTCAGAAATCAAATCCTGAGTTGTTTTGTGTTGGAAAAGACCTAAAACCTTTTTCGATGTTTTATTTTTTAAGGTATAGATTCTCTTACACCCGTCGCTTCAACACTTCAACAGCTGAGAAACACAAACAAGAGTTTCGTGTCTGGCCGGTTAAAACAGGTAGCACGTCTCTCCGTTGTCAGACAAATTATTGTCGTGTCGGGCCGAGGTGTGCTTCTGAAAAGACTTTTAAGGACGTCCCATCTGTCAGARCGACATTTTTCAAGGTGACTGAACTGAAAGGCCTCATTGTCTGCCGACTCCACGGTGCGCAGAAAGAAGCCGAAGCCGCTCAGATTTTAGCTGAGATTTGCCCCCCCCCCCMCACACACACACACACACCCATCGACTTGAGCTGAAGCCAACAGAAGCAGCACAATTCAGGTGAACTCAGGTGTCTCTCCAATCAGACGAGAGACGTTGCACTTAGTTAATCACGGTGAAATAAAGTTTAACGTCATTTATAGGAGAAACACAAACATGTCAGGAAGCAAACACCCGCTTCTATWATTCTAGGTGTTCATAGAAACACTCCCTGCATTCCTCACAGCTGAAAACTTTTTACTCACGCTGTCCTGCTGCGCTGATATATGATGAAACCCTCAGGGTTTATTTGGCTTAAATAAACCTGCTGTCGGTTTCAGGGCTTGTATAKTTACAGTGATAAAGAACGAGGGTCAAAGTGTCAGCGGGTGATCGAGTAAAGGAGAAGTGTCCCACGTCTTATCAGAATATCTTTGCACGAATATGTGCTTGCTGTCGTAGACAAGACCATAAATAAATCACGGACGACACTGATGACGTTTTAGCTCTCAGGGGTTTTAAATAATCTGTCCAATCCCTGAGAGTCAGATCAGATGTGGTTCCCYTGGTCAGGTGTCCACTCTTGGCTCGTTTCCATTTATAGCTCAAAAAAAAAAAACATCTGATCCTCCTCTGCTCCCCGACCACGCCTCCACCTCCCATTCCTCTGCCCTCCCTCCTCTGTCTTTCCCTGCCTGCTGGAAACATGCTGCGAGCCGACAGATAAGGCTCACAGGCTGACAGACTCACACACATACACACACAGCTAACATGGGCCAGATTCTGAGCTGGATCCGAGGCCCGCGGGACACCCCGGACCTGCAGGATGCGTCTGTGGAGGAGCAGGTCTGTGCCAAATGTGTCTTTGTGGCATTTTGTTTTGTGCTGAGTCGCTCATCCAGAGGTATCCACATGTGTTTTGTTTTGGTTCTCTAAGTCAGCCAGTACAAGCTGAACTACACACTTGTCTTGTTAGCCCTCTTTGTTTGGCTTTTATTGAATGTTTAAAAAAAAGTTTTAGAGGGGAAAACCAGATCTGAGTCTCTCTGTCTTCAGGAATGTGCGAGGCTCCTGGTTAGCCTCTCAGAGTTTTAGTGTGTGAGCTATTCGCAGTCAGACATTAAACCAGTTCAGGGACAAGGCCTGCAGTGTTTGCTACAAGCAACTACAAGCATCAAACCCAAGTGAAACATTATAAAGTCATACTAGTGATTATTGTTGTGTGTGTTTTTGTCCTGGTGAGTTCAACAGTCAAACATTTGGTTCTGTTTGAGGCTTTTAGATACAATGTTTAGCCTCCATAAAGACATTCTCTCATGATTATCTGCAGCAGTGGATGAAGCAATCCAACAGGGTGTGTTGCTGGAATAAAGATTAGGAGTTCAAGCTGAAATTGCACGAACTGTAGGTCATTTCCTGCAGCCTCAGCAAGATTGGCTCCATTTTGGTATTTTCTCGTCAACCAGAGACAGCGATTGGCTGCTGCTGATGTTTGTTGGGTCTGAGTCACTTCGTGTTAAAGGTCAAACGCAAGCATGTCCTAATGGACTGAACTCATAGTGGGAGGATTTGTGTTGTTTGTTTTCAAAGGTCTGGATTCCAGCGGGTCAGGATCGTGTGCCTTCATTGTCTTTCTATTTAAAGCTGAAATAGTTCCTGCCTGTTCATGCATTCCCTTCAGAGGAAAGTCCCAAAGTGGTAGAAGTAGCCTCTGCACACGTCAGGTGCAGTGACAGTCAGACACGTGGTTTTGTTTTACTAGATGCTACTCCCACTGTTTGCAGGTTAGGAGCCTTTTAGGTTCATTGTAACAAATTTCTCCCTTGACTAAAAAGCATACAGGTTTTTGGAACGCAAGTTTTTTATTGAACTATCGGGGCTCCTATGGTTATAATGTCAGTCCTTTTTTAATGGCATCTGGTTCTGACTGACTAATATTTATAGATGCTTCTTCTTAAAAAAGTTTGAGTTCGCATAACTGGTTCAGTGCTTAGAAGCCGTTTCTGCAAAGTCTCTGTCATCTTTACCTTGTTATGTTTCAGTTTGAGAAGATAACAATCCATTATCAGACATCCTCAAGGTCCTTGTGCTGCTGTAAAAGTTTAGAAATGTACAAAAGTGCATCACCACACAGAGACGTTAAAGTATGCAATGTTTTTTGTATATGTGCATCATTCACTACTAAAGGTTTGAAGCATAATTTGAAGAAATGAGTTAAATCAGCAGAGTCCTTTGTTTGCATTCAAAAACTGAAGACTTCAGACTGTCTCTGCACATGACAAATTGAGTTAGTAAAATAATTCCTGAACGTAAACAGAGTTGTGTGGAGACAATAATGGAATCAAAAACTCCAGGTCCAAAACAAAAAGACACAACTGTTCTCTTGTCTTCTGAAAATAAATGTCATCTAAAATCTGCCAGGCTGAGTCCACGCAAAACAAAGTCAGTTTGTGGGAGGAAATCGATCGGCGGGGAGAGTTAAAGCAGAATTTAAGATCATAAGCAAATAATCCCTGCTGAGATATTTCAGATTCTAGTTAGTGTTATTGTAAACAAAAGCACAAAACATTTGCTGTTCTCTAACTCAATTCTTGGGAAAACCCTGATAAGTTTGAGCTACTTTAGCCTCCAAACAACCACTTATTGATGTCGAAATTGTATTAAAAAGCATAAAATTCAAGTCAAAACACTGAAAGATCACATATATTTTGACAAGTAATTATGGCTTTAAAATCCAGACCAGAACCTTAAACTAAAGGTTTAATCTAACAGAGAGACAATGCAGAGACATCAGATAAAATAGGATTACTGTGGTCAATGCAGGATGAAATAAAAGCAGAAATGAATATTGACGCAATTGATTTAACATTATTTTTAAATTAGCATAAAACAAGAATAAACAGCACTTTTGATATATAGGTCAAATGTCAGGTTGCCTTCTAAAGTACCCACAGTTATGTGTGGTATAGCAAACATAAGTTCCCAATGAACCTTAGTTCTGTTCACATTCAACAGGAGAAAGTTAATCAGACGATCAGGATTTTATAGATCTCAATCAACTTTGGCCTGCTGGCCTGGCAGCCCCACCCACACTTCCTCTGATAATGAATTAGACTGAACAAAAAATTGTGCAGGCTTTCTGTTTTATGATGTTAGGTATTAATTGTAGACTTATTTGTTTAATCTCAAAGTTAAGTACATGTCATTTGGTATAAAGTTATAAAAAGGCAGAAAGTAGAAATGCACTAGTAAAGTTTGTCGAAAAATTACTTAAATCCACTGCAAGAGCAAAGTTTATATGGTTTATTCCTGTCTTGGAGGATAAAAATATGATCCTGGATTAAGTTACAAAATGGTTCCAGGTTGTACTCAAAGAGATTCTGTGAACTGGGTTCACATCCACACTGGCAGGAAATGTGTTGCTCAAATTTCCCTCTGTTGTGTTTTGATATAAATTACCACATGATGGATGTGCAGCTGGAGCTAGTGCCGTGTCTGTTTTACTGACATCATGTCACATGGTGTCATGATACTAAAGTTCAAATATCAGGAATACATGAGCAACTTTTGGCTGAACCAAATAGGAAATGTTTGTAAATCAGTAGTATTGATGAGATGTTTGAACACACTGAACCTCACTGAACCCTCAGGGTGTGTGTCTATGTGGGTTTGTGAGAGAGTGAGATGACACACTACCTACACGTGACCATAAATACACAGAGTTTAAAATGGATCTCTGCGTAGATAAATATATATGGAGCCCACGCAGCGACATGGAGGATTTTTTTTGCATTCACACGCAATACTATTGCGTTATCTCATAATAATTTTGCGTTGCCTCGCAATATATTTTCGTTACTTCGCAATTTGTGTTACCTCGCAAAACTTTTTGCGTTACCTCGAAAATGTTYGCATTCTCTTGCAAAATTGTTTTGCGTTCCCACGCAAGTTTGTTTTGTATGTGAACTGAATTAAATCAGACTTTTATTTTGAAATATCCAGTTACCAAAACAGGATGTGTCACTACAAGTTTGTGGAATTGGCATTGCACTGTTAAAATATCGGCATATGATACACTTCCATGCGGGGCTGTGTGATATATTCATTCTGAAGTTGAAATAAAGTAGTAGGCTAACTCGCTAATGGTGAACATGTGAGTTTAATAAACCGGCAGGCACAACAGTGATAAACTACTTTTGCGAGGGAACGCAAAAGAAAAAAAAATTCTCATGTCCTCTCRCGGGTTCCGTAAAATATTACCCTTTCACTTCCTGTTAAATGTGTAATCAAACGGTGCCGTTTGTCCCGCCACCAGGCTGTAACATTTCTCAGAGCTATCAGATTTCTCACATCACTGAGAGTTCGACTGGAGCTCAACTGTTTTTGACACAAATGTTGTAGAAAAGAATCCAGAGCAAACAGCCTAGTGTTGCAGATCAGCTCTAAATCTCTATATTTGTTTACGTGTGCCGTACCTGAAGTGGTGTTGTAGCCATGTGATGTTTGTCCTTAAGACCCTGCAACCTCAGTTACTGGAAACTGTAATAAGATACAATGGGCCTCATGCAAGAACCGTTCGTACGAACAGATTTGTTCCTAAGTTGTGCGTACGAGTGATTTAGGAGAACTTGTCACATTCACCAATTTTCTCGTATTCTAAGATTTTTTTCAGATACGAACAAAATTCACGAGTGGTCCAGACCTGTCATATATTTTACGAGCAGTTAGTCTGCTGTTATCCAGACTGATTTTCTTCACTAATAACTTTATATTTCATTAGTTTGAAGATATTCAGAGTTGAAAATAAATCAAACTTCGTAATTATGTTGAAAATAGGCTGTTCTGTTTCAATTGGAATTATAATTTTAAATGTAATAATGTAGACTAACGACATAAATCGGTTAAATTTAATTAAACTGGCTATTAATGCTGTTGTATAACTACAGTATTATTTTGAAGTTTGGAGACATTTTAAAATGCTGGGGGTCACGATGCGTGACTCTTCTTCTGAATAAATGAAAACTATGTAACACGGTTGTTTACACCTAAATTAACAATATTTGACCAAAGGAAAACGAGCAGGACTGGAGAGAGAGAGAGATCAATATGATTTAGATTTTTATTTCTGTGACTGTATATGATCCACAGGAGACACGACATTAACAGCAGTCGTCATTTCATTCCTCGGCTTTAGCAGCTCCTTTAATTCCACAGCTGATGCTGTTAAAAATGACAGATTTTCTTTTCTGGATCTCTGAGAGCTTCAATCACCGAACTTGTAAAGTTCTTCTTTTTACTTTGTGATGACATTTATGAATGGACACTTCCTGGTATGTGGGGCAGGAAACGTAAAGCGTTATATGGTGTTTTTAGTGTGGTAATTATGCTAATCTCCTCTCCCCATGCGCAAGCACCTGATACGCATTCATCAGTTTACGCAGCTCATTTACACAGTTTTCCTGAAGATAGAAGAGTTTGTTGAATCTGACGTGGCATGTTCGTACGAACCCTTCGTAGGAACAAAAGTAAGAGAAATTTAGGATAAGAATACGAACATGTTCTTGCATGAGGCCCATTGAGAGCAAGTCTTATCTAAAAACAACAACAAAAAAAACCTTGTAGAGTGATGTACCAGTAGAGGAAGGTTGTTTACCCTGCTGTGTAAATGGTTAGCTTAACGTTCGACAGCGCTGGTAAGGCATGAAGCTTTTGTCCAGGGGTGTCTGAAGTGGAATGAAGCGTAAACGAACAAACAGGGAAAAGTGCTTTGAGCTAAATTTAGAGGCAGTTCATGGACATGAACAGCAGAGCATCTGTAGCTAACAGAGACTGTGGGTGGCAGTGAT